ACTTTCAGTTGCAAAAACGGAGCAAGAAACGTCTCTATATGTCTGACACACTCCACAGAGACATTTAACACTTTCCAATTAGCATGAAAACACTTCTCAAAAGCACAATCCACGCTGGAAATATGGGCGGAGACAGTGGCATAGACGGTCAAGCACTTGTGTCTTTCTCTTTGTGCGCCCCCTCTCTTTACAGAATAAGGAGAAACCGCGCCGATGAAAAAAGTTTAAGGGCTAGCCGTCTCCGCCAATACAACAGAGGTGGACTGTGCCTGTGAGGAGACCCGATATGTTGTACAAAATAGAAGCTATAGACACGTCTCATAAAGTAAGACTTCAAATTTGAAACAGGCTAGGCATATTCAAGGCAATTTGTCTGTGCTGCTATCGGGAGGTAGCAACAGCTCCTGCATGAGCCTATCGATGGCAGCCAGGCCAAACAGTTTCGCCATTTGTACATCTTCAATCAAATCACGAGCGATAGCTAACATCGGTGGAAGAAGAAGTAGAAGGTTTGAGAAGCGGCGAGGAGTGTCGCGAAGCGGCGACACCTGTCGCACGTGGCGTTCGAACGAATCCAGCAACTGAAAAGGAAAATATTCTTGATAACTTCCAAATGGAACAAATGGAACACTCAACCTTTTGACGGGTGTCATCGATGTCACGATGCGATTCTTCTGTGCCTTTCGCGACTGCAATGAGAGAAATGAAACTATAATGTTCTGTCACTGAATACACACTCCACGCTGATCTTACAGGCGGAGCCAGACCTGCCATTGTGCCTTCTTCACTTCTACCTCACTTCGATCTTGGAAAAAAGCACCAATAAGGAAAGCACAGCGGTTGATTATCTCCGCCCGCATGATTAGCGTGGATTGTTCCTTTGGATTCGAAATTATCTCCCATCCATGCTTTCCCATAAAAATACTCTCATGCGTCGACCTGTCTGACCGGAAATGAGTGCCGACCTGGTGCGCCGAAAGATCGATATCTATTCTTTTACATGCGTGAGGGACCGACTGTCATTTCAAAGCGTTCTTATGTTCCCAAGACCTCGTTATACTTCGATTTTTGATAATTCTTTAAACATACGTGGATCGAAGAATGCGATCGCTTTCAGGGCCACGTACTCAATCTCGTTCATCTGAAGCTGTCTCATCGGCGTTGTCAGATGATCAACTATTCGTGCTGCTACTCGACTGAAACATCACAAATAAATAAATGTACTGAAAGGTTACCCGTACCCTTTTAAGTTAGAGACACATTCCGCGATAACTGGATGGGCGGAGACCCATTTCCACTGCCTTTCATGGTTCGAATCTGGTTTTAGTACGGAAAGGAGTAAGAGACGTACCAGCCGTTTCCATGCTCCGCCCGCGCTGCCGCGCCCAGCCACACGCCTAAGCATGAACAAACGCGCTACTTTTCTGCGCTCTCTCAGGTATGATTGTTCTATACCGCTAAGTGCAAGTTCCGCTGCGGGACCGTAGTGTCTTGACCTTGAGGACAGCGCGTGCGAGTTATGGAGACGGCACTCGGTACCAATACCCTACAGCCTCCTTACCGTGCACTTCTGAGCGGAGAATGTGGCGCGCTACTGCGGCTCTGAACCAATCCGCCTCGCACATGGCCTTGAAAGTGAGTGTACAACTTGTCCTCAGCTATATCCAATGCAATCGAAGGTAGCTCACGCAGCAGTAGCGAACTCTCCAAGAATGGTACAACAGACAAACTGTAGCGCTTTCTATAAGAGAACAACAGCGGTAGACGTGGCAAAAAAGACTTCGGACGTTGTCACGCCCGAAATCTACAGGCTCCGCTTCTTTGGCTCCTCTTCTAGATGGAAGGCAATAGGGAAGTTCTTTTCTCTCGAAACGAAACGGAGCTTTATGGCCCATGCGCCTTGCCCACTGACGCGTCCATCCTCCTCACGATATTAGGAGAAGCGCTCTAGTAAGGACAGCCCAATGACTATGAAGCTACGCCCATCTAGCTATCGTGTAACGCTACCCTAGTGAGGTGCTTAATCTGTCCATAAGGAAACTTACTTGACGTCGGGCACCTTCGGAGTGTCCCTTGGCAGGCAGGTCTCGTTTGTCAAACAAACAGCATCATTGAGATGAATACTTCGAAATGCTGCGCACATCACCAAATGTTGTGCAGAGAAATGCCTGAAGAACATCGTATGCCGATTTTCTTCCTAATTCATCAACACATAAGCTGAATAATGGACAAATTAACGAAAGGAAAATAAACTGCCAGCCTCACCTAAGCAGAGCTATTTGGGAACCGAGTGGTAATCGCTGAAATTCCTGCAGATTCTTTGCCCATTCCACCATTAGAGTGAGTTGTTGATTCATACTGGAAACAAGCTTCTTACAGATCTGACCTCGCTTAAGGTAAAGTGCTCTGAGCTTAGCTACGCTCTCTGAGGGCGGAAGACACCCCTGCAAGCACCGCACTGGGAGCTCTGGTTTAACTTGTACTGTGTTGTGTACTCTGTCTCCCTTAGTTGCCTGGCCCTCATCCCAGCATTCAGTGCTTCTCCACCCATGGGCATACAAAAATCAAAACCTGTAAAAATGACAGTGTTTTCGACGATTTAGTTTTTTCTTCATTGACACGTTCAATTTTCCACCATAAAATTCGTATTTCAACCCCACTGCTCCTCCCATCTTGCCAACGTGAAGTCCAGCCTCG